TCAAAATTTAACTTTTTTTCAGCAAGAGTGTTTGAACAATGCAGTGGCAACACTCAAGCAAAATGGTCAAAAGAAGAAAACATTGACATTCCTTTTTTCATAAAAAAAGGTTTCAAGATAAAAAAAGAAATATCCTGAGATTCAATATATTCATATTGGATTAACACAAGTAATCATAACAGCCTTATTTCAACAAGGGATAAACACTCCTATTTTGTCGATAATTTTTTATAAAAGATTTTCCAATCCAATGAATGCAATCATTAGAAGAATTCAATCTAATTTGGCTAATGGAGTTGTTTGGTTTAATGTTAGACCAAATTTCTTTTTTTTCCATAAATGATCCTAATCTTGAGGACACAGTCAGAATATGAATTAAAACACAAAAATTAGGAACGAAATCAAATTCCCATGATGTGGTCATCCGTTGGAAAACAATTCACGAATTGACCAAATTTCCTGAAACAAAAACAAGATCAAACGATAATAAAATTGTTGAAATCTTTGAACCAAGACCATTTGACATGACAATCCAACCGTGTCTAATGAACCGGAGTGGTCTAGAAATCCCTTGACAATGGTTAATCCATGACCTAGTGAAAAAAAGGAGAATTTTCCAAAATAAAAAATCCTGCACAGATGCAAATACAAGCATCAGGAAAAAAAATTATATATTCAAAATACAATGCCAAAAATTAAAAGATCAACTTTTGTATTTGAAAAAGATTTTCCTAAAAAAATTTCAAAATTAAGCATTGGTGAATCGAACAATAATTCTAATCAAGAATCTATTGTTTCGAAAAATGTTCAAATTCCTATTTTTCCAGGAACAAGAACACAATTTGAACATATTAAGTCTGCACATATGTATCATTTTCAAACAAAAAATGATGATATTATTTTTTCTCCTAGCCAAGGAAAAAGAAGATACACATGTGTTGGGAACATTTAATTTTGCAGGTTATAAATCCTGTGTTCTCATAGACACAGGAGCTACAATTAGCTCATGTAAATGGAATGCCATACCAAAAGAAAAATGAGCATTAATGAAAATCCAATTTTGGTTATTGAAATTGATGAAAACCATACTTCCATACAATTCAAGGCTAAAAATATAGCTATTTGGTTAAATGATAGTAAGTTCATCATACCAAAAATTTTACGTTTTCCTTATATGCATGGCGATTTCCTTCTTGGAAATAATTTTATATATAAATACCTTCCAATGCAAATACAGAAAAAAGCCATTTCATTAAGCATAAATAATGTCTTAATTCATATTCCATTGTTAGAACAACATAAATATATATAAAGAGTTTGCGCCCGTTCCTCATAGTGATTTAACTCCCATTATCAAAACTATTGATGAATCACACTGGATTTATAAAATTCTAGAAGAAAATTTTAGTGAAAATCCATTAGAACTATGGCAACGTAGTTCGCGTTATTGTAGTTTGAAATTGAAAGACCCTAATGTTATCATTAGAGTAAGACCTATGATCTATACTAGACAAGATATAGATGAATTTGATATTTAACTTCAGGAACTTTTAGCCAAAAAGTTAATTGAAAAAACTAGAAGCCTTCATTCTAATCAAGCTTTTATGGTAAGAAGCCATGTTGAAATTAAAAGAAGAATAGTCCGAATAGTAGTAAACTCTAAACGGCTAAAAGAAAATTTAAAATGTGATGGATATTTTATTCCAAAAAAAGATGTTTTGATTAACTTAACCAACGGATCAAAAATCTTTAGCAAATTCGATTTTAAGAGTGGATTTTGCCAAATTTAATTGACTGAAAAGTCAAAAAAATTGACAATTTTCAGTACACTTAGAGGACATTACCACTGCAATGTTATGCCTTTTAGTTTAAATATAGCACCACAGGTATTTCAACGGTAGATGGATACAATCTTTAACGATCTTAAGGATTGTTGTGCAGTTTATATTAATGATATACTTATCTTCTCCAAAACCCGGGAGGAACATAACAAAAATTAAAATTACTTTATGAAAAATTCCAAAAACATGGAATTATTTTGAGCTAGAAAAAGAATCAATTGAATTTTTGAGAATAATTTTAGATCAGAAAGGTTTAAAATTACATGAACATATTTTGTCCAAAGTATGAGATTTTTCTGATACTCTTGAAAATATAACACAATTATAGAGTTTATTAGGTATTATAAATTATGAACGAAATTTTATCAAAAATCTTTCAAAAATAGAAATTCCTTGGTTAACCAAATTAAGGAAAAATGTTCTTTTTGAATGGACAACAGAGGATGTTGCTTTAATTAAACAAATTAAAGAAAATATTAAAACTTTACTAGACGTTTATCTTCCTAAAACAAGTGATAAATTAATTTTAAAAACAGATGCCTTTGAATCATGTTGAGGATGTGTTCTTAAAGCAATACCAAGTAAATTATGGCATGATAAAGAGATACCTTTATCAGAAAATGGGATTAGACCAAGAAAAAAATCAATACCCATAAAATTACAAATAGAAGAACTAATTTGTGGATATAATTCTGGAACATTTAAACCAAATGAACATAAATATATTATTTTTGAAAAAAAATTACTTGCAATAAAATTGACAATAAAAAGTTTTCATATCTACTTAGCCCCAAAAAAAATTATTGTACGCACTGATAGTAAGGCAGTAAGAGATTTCTTGATCAATAAAAAACCTATTGGGCAAAGAAGAAGATTAGGCTAGTATAATAAAATTTTCGAATATACTTTTGAGGTAGAACATCTTAAAAGAACTAACAATTTTCTTACAGATTTTCTTAGTAGGAATTGTTTTCAGAAAATTAAATTACTAAACAAGTAATTTTAATTTTTGTACAAGAGGAAAAAATGAACAAGGGTAAACAACCCACACAAGGAGATTGAGTGACAATTACTAAAAAAGCAATCCCCATTATGTTGTGTTTGCAGGAAGACAATCTAAAATTTACATAGAATAGAATGATTGCAATAAGCAAGTTTGCGGATTTCTAAGAGCTAGTTATAAATCCTATAATAGCATGACCAAAGCTAAAAAAAAGCTTTTTACAGCGCACCAGCTATGCCTGTTTATCAAAATAACTTTTGTCAAATGAGAACTAACCCAGTTCCAACTAATATTCAGACATCTAAACTAGAAGAATCTGAAATAAAAGATTTTTTCAACCCTGGTATATCCAGAGAAATTTATACACAGCTCAATGGAGTTTAGAAAACTCACATTGTAGACAACAAAGTGAAATTTCGAAAACACATGAGAGTTCTGGCCAACAAATTGAACAAACAGCTAAGTTAAAACATTTACGAAACTTTTGTTTCAATATCCTTAAACAAATGAATTGGAATTAAGATTTTAATTTTGAAAAAATAAACAATTTTCTTCAACTATTAGATCTCATATCAGATGAGTTTTCTAATTCAGTTTTTGAATAAATAAAAAGAATTTGTCTTTTTGAAAAAGCAAGAATTTGCTTCTAAAAGAAAATTTTCTTTTAATAAAAAATCAAGTTGAGGATCATCGTGATAAGATTAGACAAATCTTAGAGCGATCCTATGATAAATTAAATTTTAAAAATGGAATTCTCAAAATAACCATCATAGCAAATCATGACGTGTGGTTATTAAGTTATTTTCCAAATTTTAGATCCAATCCAGTGGATAGAGTATCCAATGATCATAAAAGTAATACTCTCATGGGTAGTAAAAGGCTTCCGATGGAGTAAATATTTTACTTTTTGGATCACCAGCACAATTGGTTTGCGAGAAAGAGAATATTTTTTCCAACCATATCAAATTTGATATCTTAAAGAAATAGAAGATTTTGAATTTGAAGATGACTATTTGAATGAAGATCATCGGATGGAGAGATTACGAAATATTCAAAAAATTGAAGATGACTATTTGGATAAAGATCGTCTAATGACTGTTTCACAAGCTGTTTTTAATATCCATGGCTCATTCATGGTTACAAATGGTAGAATACTATTTGTAACTCATTTTTTCATAGCATATCAAAGGTCTCTTGCACAAATTAATGAAACTCTTTACATGTTATTAAATCTCAAAAAGTGAAATAATTTGGATCTTCCGTTGGAACTAGCCATGACCGCGAATGATGTAGAACAATTTCGGAATGAGCAATACAACCAGGATCCTGATTTCCCTCCATCAGAGACTGATGAAGAATATCACAATCTCGTAAACAGAATGGAAGCATAGTGGATCCCACTATCACATACAATTGTCTCATGATCGACTGCAATCTTATCCAGGACACGTGGAGCAACTTGCATTATTAGTCAAAAAGTAGTTAGACAAATCCTTTCAATCGACGTTACATGACAAATAAGATTAACCAAATCTTATTTATATCAGTCTATCTCTTTGAACAACGGAGATGGTAGACAGTGTATATAATTGTAATTTGTCAGAAGATGACAAATTACTGTAATTTTTCATTTATGTTTTGTCAGAAGATGGCAAATAATTGTAATTTTTCATTTATGTTTCCAAAGACTTTCTTGTCTTTGTATTTATTAGTTGGTAGCTCATGCACCGAGTCACCCATTTGAGATTCCACATTGAAAACCCTTTGCTTGAACCAGCTTTGTGTCAATACTCGGGTTGATTTTGATTTCTCATATCCATTTCCACTGCCCTGTTAATATTCATAAACTCGTCAAAGCTTTGAAATATGGATAATGTGTATAAATCCTCTGAAGATGACCGCCATATCCCACAATTAGAGCCCTCCTAAACTTGTAGTGTAGCATTCCAAACCATTCAAAAATGAAGAGAGTAAATTACCAATAAGTTTTACATTTGAAACTTTTTTGGAACTTATTACTCTTACTCTTTATGTTCTATTGATAAATTTATCAGTCTCTTTTATTCTTATGAATAAATTTACAGTGATATATTTATCAGTTAAGATATGTAAATAAATAAGGTTAATTAATAAGACTGATTGATAAACGCCCCAAATGAACAAGAACTTAAGATGCAGTACTCCAACAAAAAGAAGAAAAAACAAATCACAAATTGTTCCGATAACAATTTCCCAGTCATCAGCACAGTTCATTTATATCGAATAAACTACACACCCATAACACAAATCAAAAGATAAAATAGATAAATACACATGAAAATGAAAATGCTTCAAATTTTACACAACACGGAACTGGTGTGATACTGAATTTCTATCCCAAGCTCAATCCATATTGGAGCCGCCTCTGAAGCGAGGACAGCTGGAGAGCCATTCTAGATTTCTCCTTCTTGATGTGGATCAGCTTATCATAAACACACCATGGAAAACTAAGGAAATGGTCTCGGTTCATTCCACCATTATATTGACCCCAATAACTAGGATGATAGGTGACATGGTACCAAGCAGATGCTTTTGCATATACATCGTCAGATTCAGCATCAGATGTAGCTCTGCTCGTGTTGAACCAGGTTCTAGCTTCCTTTCTCAATGACCTCACAGCCAAGCCAACATCCTCTGCATCTCTTCTCCGGTCAAAAGATTTCGACATTTTCATAATACTACCACTGAGTATTTCGGCTTCTGTTTTGATCCCATAATAGTCCATTAGGTTTCCCAACTTGTAATCGTACTCACTTTTGTAATCAAAAGCATCGTCAATGTAATCCTCGAAACCATCCACTTCCATATCAGGATCATATGAGTTCCTTGCCACGTCCCTCGTGAAGGATTTGAAAGAGCTCGACTGTGGCGAAATGTCTTTCACTGCTCGGAAAAGCTTCCCAATCACACTTTCTGATTCATAGGTAGTCTTGTCAGGCTTTTCCATAAAATCAGGATATATTTTGACCCGTAATTCAGTTGGTATCTCAGCTGGCACACCAGTCTTTGGGAAGTCAACTGCAATCGAGAATAGCTGTGCAAGCTTTATACAAGGGTCGCTCATTGCTTTTAAAGGTTCCGTGTCTGCAAAAACTGTGTGGGCATTTGCAATGATGCCTAAACTGTCATTCACTATATAGTTCGTGAAGTATTCCTCAACTTCCTACAAGAAAAAAATGTGGTGTGTTGAATATAACAAATAAACATGTTACTGGGAATGGGACGGAACATTTGAGTAAGCATTGAACATGATAACTTGGAGTTGTATCAAACATCACAATTGTACAGGAATATAAGTCAAGCATTAAATATTCAAGCGTGATTCCATGCAGTTCCCAGCTACTTCCAGTTTATTATTGATTTAAAATTTAATTATTTACTTCATCTTAATTTTGTTAGTAGCTTAGTTTAGGAATGTTATTGGGCCAACAGTGCAACAGTCACATCTAATATCATGTCACATCAAGCCACAGGTATGGCCTTCCAAATAAGTCTCCTTATCTTCCAGGGCTATCAAAGGAGTGGATTATCTTCACTGGATATCTCAATGTGTGTGAGTCTCAGTAGCTTAAAACCAAATAAACCTTTCTCGGCAAAATAGATCTTTACAAACTTCAACAGCGAAATAGATGATGCCCTTTAATACCTGGCATCTTTAACACCTAGGAAACACTGGATACTTGGGTCTGTAAATATAAAATGTCTACCGTGATCATTGGGGTCCTTAATACCCTACATCATCTCTCAATAAGCCATTAGAGAAACAGGTCCTGAATATCCTACATGAATGACATGTCTGTCGTGATCATTGAGGTCCCTGTTACTAGGATCCATCACCCCTAAAGAGTGTTGAGGCATGCTTTGATAAGACCTCCACCCCTCTTTCGACTACAATCATAATAATAGTAACAAAGCATAAGTTTAGTTGGAGAAAATTCATCTTTAATAAGTACCAAACTTAAAATCAGAATACTATTTTGAACATATTTCCAGCACAATAACCACACTAAGCCCTGTGTCACAAATTCCAATCGAGTGGGTTGGCTACATGAATCATTTTTCTCCATTCTTCTCTATCAACGTTATATCCTTGATTAAATTAAATAAAATTCATATTTTTTTTACTACTGTATCCCATGTCAGTTTAGGTCTTTCCCTCCCCCAAACAATTTCATTTACGGCAATCATCACTCATCCTTGCTGCTGCATCTATAGGTGATCAAATCGTCTTAGAATGTTTTCTTTTGACTTATCTTTAATTAGTGCTACTCCTACTATTTTGCGAATATATTAAATTATAATTATATCTTTTCTAGTCTTACCACACATCCATCTAAGCAATCTCATCTCAGCTAAACTCATTTTATGACCGTGTTGTTTCTTAATCTTAAATGCCCAAGATTCTGTGCTCTAAAGCATCGCTAGCCTTGTAGCTATAAAAAAATTCCTTTCGGTTTTATTGGGGTATTTGCTGATCACATAATATGTCCAGCAAAATCCTCCACTTGAGCCAATCTATTTTGATTCTATAGACCACATCATCTCCAATCTCACCATCCTTACTAATAATCGAGCCTAAATAACAAAAATGTTCACTATTTGTAATTTCCTAATTTTCAATCTTCACTTTTCCATTATTATACTTTTGTTATTACTAAAGTTACATTTCATATTTAGTTTTATTTCTACTAATTTAAACTTTTTGACTCAAATGCTTCTCTCCAGATTTCCAATTTAGTATTATTTCCTTCAAAAATTTCATCTGCTAGAACAATTTCATCTGTGAACGACACACACCATGGGACATCATCCTGATTCATAGCTGACACTTGATGTTACAATGATTGAGAATTCACTAGTTTCTCCTGCAATTGACCTTAATTGTACTCACAACTCCATTATACATGTCTTTTTCAGCACAATGTTATATATAATATTAGACTTCAATTTGATCCCGAAGAAACTTGGCTTACTAATTTTGAAACACAAAATTGCCAACAATTTTTTTTCTCCATAATCATCAATTTGCATGCTCAAATTATCTAATTATCCATACAACATGAATAAGGAAAAATATGTACACCTTTGGTCCTAATGAAGTACTTAAATAAACTTAGGTGAGAGTTCTAACAAGGCTATGAGAGGAAAATTGATGGGCTCGATTAGCCAAGTACATCTTAAAGCCAATAAATATAACTGCATACCACCCTGTCCACAACTCCTACCCTGATAAATAAAACAGCAAAATTAAAACAAAAATTGGACTCCATCACCATCCTCATATTCATTATCCTATTATAATTTTAATCTTGATTTATTGCAAGCACTTTCGGCAAGGTTCCATGATTCCACCCAGTGGCGCACCTGTAGAATCGTATTGGTTAATATTCAACAGCACACAAATTTAAGCTCACCTAACCAGTCACACCAGAATTCTCAGCACATTGTAGTTTCAACAAAAATTACATAATGTGACAGATCCACCAGTTATCTATTCTTTAATTACAAAAGAGGAACAATGACTCTTCTTTCCCACTCTTGGTACATAAAAAGTTTAACACCTTTTATAGATTTCAAATGAACTGTAATATTTCAATCAATCATAAGACTTCCTGTCAATCTTACTAGTTCAGCAAGTTTGTGATGGTTTAAGGTTAAGGCTTAAGAAGGTATGTCGATGCTTGCATACATATTGAGCCAGGTGTTGTCAAAACCAATGTTGCATGATGCCAAGTCATGCCAGTAAAAACTTCTAGATAAGTTCCTCCTATTACTGCTTGGAAGTTCATACTAAATGTAGTGCGTTAATCTTTGATTTATTTTCACTTGAATTATACATCTTATGCAAAAAATTTCCAATTGCCTAGGTTTAAAAAAGAATTGCAAATGGAGGAAATGACTCTAAGCTTTCCATTTGTAAACCATTTTATGACTTGTGTATCTACCTCAAGGAAACCTGAAAATTGCTATTTTATGCAGGCATGTGTGACTCACATTCATATATGCTCATACACACATGCACATATACAAGTAAACTGAAATATATAACAACAGTCACATAAATCTTTTTCAACAAATAAGAAAAGCAAGAAAATGAAGGCCAGAACACAAAGCGTCTTCACTGTTAAAATTAACTATGGTGAATTATGTACAACATGAAATAACAAATCAAATCTCAAATCATTTTGAAGTGAGGAATTATGAAGAAAAAAAAATGGCCAAGCAAATTTTGAGATCAACATCGTATTTCTTGATAATATATGACAGCATTGAAGGAAAAGAGAGATAGAACACAAAACCCATGTGAAGTTGGGAATATTAAACCCATGTGAAAAAGAATTTCTATGATAGGTTGAAAACATAAGTTCCAAAAGTGCATCAACATAGAGTAATATGCATACACCCTCTTTTTGTTGGTACTCGTAATTTATAGATTTACAAATCAAGAAAACTGCTTTAACATATAAATTTGTGGATAGTAATACCTCAATTGTAACATCATGATCCGACAACATACTTGGTGCAGGGGTGTAATCCATGGGTTGGATTTGCTGCGGTGGAATCAGATCAGGGTCCCAACAGACAAAATAAATGTCACCATCCAAATCACTCCCCGAACATTCATTTGGATGAGGTCTGCCATTAGAGTCGGCTAAAATTAGTAACAATTAAGAACAAAGAAAGATTTTAACAGCTATCAGATATAGTTATTGGAGAACAAATAAAAAAAGCAAATTTTACAACTGTAGCTCGGAAGAAACATCACAGATAAGTACAATTAGTTCATAACTACTAAGTAATACATACACATACATGCCGACATGAAAATTTGGATTAAAATGCACGACATGACATGCATGAGATACATTAAAATTTTATATTTTTAAAATTTATTATAGTTCAAATCTATGGCTAATATATTCAAATGTATAAAAAATATTTTAAAAAGCACTAATTGAAATTAAAAAGACATATATTTCATAACTTCAAAGTTAAGATATCATTCACATAACAATTGCATTATATACGATGCAAAAATAATTGTAGAACATTGAAATACCCATGATGTATTCATGTTATAAATGTTTCAAGACATATTTAGTGTAGAAGTTAGATTTTGAGAATGGAGAACATTGTTACTCCATAAGAGGTTCATCACGTGGTTTTGTTTGGAGGGTTAAGTGTCACAGAAGTGTCCGTGAGGTGTCTATAAAGTATCTGATAACAAGAATTTAAAATTCCAATCAAGAACGTTGAAAAAGTGTTCCTACATAGAAGTGTCCGTGCTTCTTAGATTTATAACTTCTACTATCAAAAACACCCAGAGCTTCACCAAGTCCCCCTAAAAACACTACTTGATGTTGGTAGATAAGGTATCAGTTATAAAAATAAAAAATAAAAATAAAAGAGGGGGAGAAGAAGAGGAAGGAAGAGAAAAGAAAGAAAAAGTAACACAGAAAGGGGTTTTTTTTTTTTTTTTTTTTGAACTACACTTCTCATCCCTGGACCCATATATTTATATTAAATAGTCGACCAAATTACAAAAGTACCCTCATTTCTAAAATAACAACAAAATCTAATAGTATCATTCACAGAATGATGTATGTGCTTGCAGTTCCACATGATGCTGCAGTTGTAGCTTTAAGTCCAAACCTGTGCTTATCAACTGGCAGCCTCATGATCAGCAAATTGATAGACACAAACATTGACATGTGTTTGTCTGCATCAACCAACCTGATAGAACGCTTTCAGCATAGACCAGATATGTTTCATAGAAACCAGTCACGTGTCTTCCTCATCCCTTCCAATGCCAATGTATTTTTTCAATGTCAGTTATTGTAAATTACATAGAAGAAATTCCAGTCAAGATAGTTAGTCAGTCATTCTGAAAACCCATCCGTAAGATTTCTAAACAACCTGTATATTAGATTGAATTAATTTGAACAAAGAATACATACATCATTTATATAGAGTACCACTAATTCCTAACCCTACATGAATACATTACTGAGATATATAGATGTCTAATAGACATAGGACACTTATTCCTAATCCGAGGAGAACACATATTTCTCACACTCCCGCTCAAACTCAAGGTGTTTTAGCAGAAAACACTGAGAGTTTGTCAAGAAAAAACCGAAACCGAGCAGTGGTGTGAGTCTTAGTGAAGAAGTCAGCAAGTTGCAGAGCCGAAGAGACAAAAGGAAGCGAGATAAAGCCAGACTGCAGATGCTGACGGACGAAGTGACAATCAATCTCAATATGTTTTGTCCGTTCATGGAAGACAGTATTATGAGAAATTTGAATAGCACTTCGGTTGTCACAATAGAGAGAGGTTGGGGAAGATTGAGGGACGCCCAACTCAGATAAGAGCTGACGAAGCCAGACAATTTCAGCAGTAGCATGAGCCATAGCACGATACTCAGCTTCGGCAGTAGAACGGGCAACAACAGTCTGTTTCTTACTTTTCCAAGAAATTAGGGAATCGCCAAGAAACATACAGAAACCAGAAGTAGATTTACGATCATTAACATCACCAGCCCAATCAGCATCAGCATAAGCCACCAAGTCTAAGGAAGAAGTAGAAGAGAACAGCAAGCCCTGAAAGATAGTACTGCGAAGATAACGAAGAATCCGAAGCAAAGCAGCCCAATGTGTAGAGCGAGGGGCAGAAACAAACTGACTAATCACATGGACAGCATAGGCAAGATCAGGGCGAGTAACGGTCAGATAGACTAAGCAACCCACAAGCTCGCGATACAACGTAGGATCATCTAGAGGAACCCCATCAGTAGTGTTGAGCTTTACATTAAGTTCAATGGGGGTATCAGACAGCTTAGTGTCAGTAAGTCTGGCACGATGGATAACCTCGTTAGCATACTTAGCCTGGGACAGAAAGTAACCCTTGGGAGAAGAAGCCACCTCAATGCCAAGAAAATACCGCAATGGTCCCAGATCCTTCATTTCGAAGGTGCGAAAGAGATGCTGCTTGACCTCAGAGATAGCAGAAGAGTCAGAGCCAGTGATGATCATATCATCTACATATAGTAAGAGAGCAACAAAACCAGCCGAGGTATGTCTTAGAAATAAAGCAGAGTCGGAAGCAGAAGGATGAAACCCAAGCTCGGTAACAGCAGTCTGAAAGCGATCATACCAAGCACGAGGAGACTGCTTCAGACCATATAGAGCACGCCGAAGACGACAGACTTGGCCAGAGGAATGGTGAAGACCAGGGGGAGGACGCATATAAACCTCCTCAGTGAGACTGCCATTAAGAAAAGCATTCTTAACATCCATCGGATAAAGAGGCCAAGATCGAATAGCAGATCAAAGTACGGACAGTAGTCATCTTAGCAACAGGAGCAAATGTCTCCTCATAATCAATACCATACTCCTGGGAGAAACCTTTGGCCACCAGACGAGCTTTGTAGCGCTCAAGAGAACCATCAGAATGAGTCTTGACTTTGTAAACCCATTTGCAACCAACTAGATTCTTACCAACAGGTAAAGGAACCAACTCCCAAGTACTAGTTTTCTGTAGAGCAAACAACTCATCCTCCATAGCTTGAACCCAATGAAGATCCTGACAGGCCTCCTTATAAGACTGAGGTTCTGCAAAAGAGTGAATAGCAGACAAAAAGGTACGATAGGAAGCAGAAAAACAAGTATTAGACCAACCCAACCTTTGTGGAGGATGACGCGCTCGAGGAGGATATCGGTGTGCAGCAGGATCAGAGTCGTCAGAAGAAGGAGGATCAGCAGTAGGGGTAGAGACAACTAGTAGAGGAGGAGCCTTACGACGAGAATAAACTAACAACGGAGGAGAAGAAGAAAGAGAAGGAGAAGGCGAAGGAGGAGGCGGAGGAGAAGTAGTCAGAGGTAAAGCAGAAGGAGAAGATGGAATAGCTCAGGAGGAAACTGTGGAGATGTACTCATCAGATGGGAACCTCAGAAAGAAATGGATCAATATGAACCAAATCCTCTTTGGAAACTGGGGCGGTGAGAGGAGGAAGCTGAAAGTAAGAAAGACGTTCGAGAAAGGCAACATGGCGGGAGACATAAAGGGACGAGAAACAGGGTCATAACAGCGATAACCTTTCTGGAGTGAGACTATAAATCCCAAAAAAACACATAGGACAGATCGGCACTAAGTTTAGTCGCTATCTTTACGGGGTAAAAGGACAAAACATGCAGACCAAATACACGAAGGAGGGAGTAATTAGGAAGGTTGAGAAAAAGGAGAGCCTCATAAGGAGACCGAACCACGAAAGAGGGGGGTAGGCATACGATTGAGAAGAAAAGCAGCAGTAAGAACTGCCTCACCCAAAACGGGCTGGACGGAGGCAAGAGAGAAGAAGGATTCTAGCTGTCTCAAGAAGATGACGGTGTTTTACGCTCAAGCTCGGCCATTTTGGGCAGTGTATCAGTATACATAGAAGTTTGGTGAATGATACCCAAGTTGGCCAAAATTCACAGAATTCAGTTTTAAAGTATTCCCCACCACGCCAAGTCAGACCGCAACAATTTAATATAGCATTCTCAAAACTGTGTAGGTTGACCATAAGACTGGAAAGTACGATATATTTGGGTAGAATCGAACTTATGGTACATAAGATAAACCCACGTGTAAGACGGGTGCAATCATCCTACAAAAGACCACATAATATACTGAACCCCTTTTAGTAAGAAACAGGAGGAGGGTCCATAGAGACAAACATCATATGGCACAGGAGAGAAAGGAGAAACAAGTGAAAATAGACGTACTTTATTAAAAGGTAAAGCTGACATTTAGTCAGTTTACACCCCCGACATTCATGCAATTTGACTAGGAGAACTTTACCCAAACAATCCTTGACTGGCTAAAGACGTAAGCGGTCAACAGACAAATGACAATGCGAGAATGCCATAAGTAAAACTGACCTCGACTGAGAATCTAATTGCATACGAGGAAGTGCAGGCTGGAGGAGGTGGATAAGGGGAAGATGCAAGCTTTCAACCACATAGAGATCTCCAATTCTACGGGCGGTCCCAATCTGCTTCTTGGACACCCGACTCGCTGCCACAACAGCAGAAGAGGAAAAGATAACTAAAAACCAGACGCATCAAGTTGACTGATAGATAACAAACTGACAGATAAACTGAGGAACTAAAAGACAGAAGGATAGTAAACAGCAGACATGGTAAGGGGTAAGCAGACGCGATCAGATAAAACAGACATACCAGATCCCATAGCAGTATTAATAGTAATAGGAACGGGTGGGGGAATACAATTTTGAAGTAAGGAAAGGTGAGGAGTCATATGATGTGAGGCAACAGAATCAAAAATCCAAACAGAAGAGGGAGTACCTGTGAAGAGGAACCCATGTCCATATATAATAGAATGGAAGAGAAGTACAGAGCGGATGCAGATGAGGATGACTGAGAGGTGGACCAAGAAAATGCTGAAGTTTGTGCAACCTTGAGCACTCAGGGAAGCCAAGTCAGGATCGGGAGCTTCTGGAGTAGATGCAGTGTAAGCAGCAGGAAGGTCGGAAAGTTACTCGAAGTAGTACGGCGGAACTGTGTCTGAAGGAAGCCACGGAGCAAGGCTTTGAACGTCCTCTGTCTTTAAAGGACAATTGTTCTTCCCAATGACCCGTCTGCTGGCAGAAACGCACACTCATCCTGCCCTAATGGTCCTCTCTTGGGTTTCGCAGTTGGCCTGAAGTTGATGAGAAGAGGGGTCGATAACAAGGGCGGCTTGGCAGGAGCCAAGAACACAGAAGGGAGCGGCAAATGTCTGACGGCGTGTACTTAAGACGGGTTTTTCCTCGGAGAGGAGTCACGACAATAGCATCCACAGAGGGAAGAGGAGACTCGATGAAAGGATACCACAATGAATAGTCCCTCATACTGAGGGGAGAGAGGCTGTTAAGAACTGGAACTAGGACGACCCTGTTTACCCGACAGTCAATATCAGCGTCTAATATCTTTTGAGAACTAGGTGGTTCCATAAAAGCCAAACTGATTTCCCAGAGACCTGTCATCTCAATATAAAAGTCCTGAATAGTTTGATCCCGCTGACGAGCACCCTGAATAGTTGTTTCCAACTCATACCGCTTGGCAAAATTGGACTGTTGATAAACACCGAGTAAATAATCCCACACTTCCTTGGCAGTACTGTACTTGGAAAACATCATTCCAATACGGTCATCCACAGAGTTGTGAAACCAGGTAAGAACTTGGGCATTATCACAATCCCAAGTGTCACAGGAAGACAGATACCCTTCTACCTTCAGGTCCGATGGACGAGGAGCAGAACTAGAAACATAGCCCCATTTTTTTTGACCAAGAAGAAAATTCTTCATAACACTGGCCCAATAGGCATAATTGCCACCATTGAGTTTACATTTAATGGCTTGAATTTTAGGGTCCATTATTGTAATAAACAAAAGATTAATGGGTCAAAGTATACTAATAACTTAATAAATGGGCCAAACATGAATAAGGGTTTTAGATAGAAATACCCAAGTTGAAGCACAGAGATCGCGAAGCAGAGAGAGAGTCGAACCAGATTACTAGAGAGCCGACCACAGAGAGACGACCCCAGGAGTCACGAAGCACAGAAAGGCGACCACAAGAGACGACCAAGACGGAGACACGATGAGCCGCGAGGACGACTGAGACTGAGATGAGCAGTTCGATGGGTCAACTGAGACGACTCACTCGCGAGACGAGGCATCCAGAAGAAGCCCTTGCAGACGAAACAGATGGGTCACCCAAGTCACGAACAGAGATCGAACCAAAGGAGTTTGATCATGTACCAGATAATCGAGAAAGAGAGAACTCGATCAAACAGATGAATCACGAACAAGTTGAACCAGTTCGTGCGTAACCCTAGCCACCACGAAATCAGGAATTGCAAAGCTCTGATACCATGTAAGATTTCTAAATAACCTGTATATTAGATTGAATTAATTTGAACAAAGAATACATACATCATTTATATAGAGTACCACTAATTCCTAACCCTACATGAATACATTACTGAGATATATAGAAGTCTAATAGACATAGGACACTTATTCCTAATCCGAGGAGAACACATATTTCTCACAGTATGCATATAATACTGGTGACTAAGATAAAGTGATGCATGATATCAGCAATTAACAAATCTCATTATGATGAATACTTTAAAATTGAAAAATGGGTAGTGACTACGGGGCATCATGTAATAAAAAGTAAAAAGACGCATCAGGGAAAAAGCGAGTCCATTTGAAAGAATGACAAGGCACCCATGACATGCTATAGTGCAAGCATTTTGCAAGGATATATCACATATCCACACATGCACATTATACATACAAATATTATTATGTTTATATGTACGCATAAGGCAGAACATATTAAATTGGTTTAGTTATCTATATATAAGAACAAGTAGAAGAAAATAAAGTAGAAACAAAGACGAGATTGATAATTTGGAGAGCTTAGAATTCTCTACTTTTTTCTTTTTTTCTTAAACTTTAAAATTATAAATAAAAAGTGCAAAGTAACAACTAAATCAATAGTGACAACTAGAAATAGAACTACCAAACTAAATCTGGTATAATATTACAAATCTGGTTATAAACATTAAACATTAAACATTTTTTTTTCTTTTTCTGGAACATTAGATTATATGAGATATAGTCATGACGAAAGCAAGAGACTATGACATTGTTTACCTCATTCCTTTCTGTGGAAAAACTACACAATCCACCATATGGTGCAAAGCTGGCACATTAACGGCGCTTAAGACACGAACATCACCTGGGTGCAAGCAAGGGTTTTTAGCAACAACTACCTTCCCCTCAACAATACGATTATGCTGGTCTGAGCCACAGCCACCAAGCATGAGAAGAGAATTATCATAAAATGGCCTATGACCAACCCCAGAAATTTGCACAAATACCTGCCCATATTCCAGGGTTCTGGTCTCATCCAGACATCCCATCATTGACCTTCCTCTTGGAACAAATATCCTTGTTTTTGTCCTTATTTCCAGCAACTTTGCAGCCCTAAATGCTCGCAACATCATTGAAAGGAATGGTTCAGCATCAGGCTTATAGCCACACAAAAGCATTTCCTTGAGAATGTTGGTGTTCTCTCCTGGAGACATCAATTCCAAAGCTTCCTGAGCCATTAACGGATCTGTTAAGATGGTGTTCAGTTCTTCTATTGCTTCTCTTTGCTTCTTTTCAAAGATATGATCCCGAACCCCAAGGGTAGACAAAAGAGTGATCAATTGGCGATTCAAGAAACAAGGCTGATATTTGCTCCATGCCAAAACATCTAATTTTGTATTGTCTGATTCATATTTAGACATGCTCATTCTTAAAGACAATTTCATTGATGAATTGGGATCAACAGCCACAACTCCTTTGTACCCACCATATCGAATCTGAAAGGCAGATGTAGTTGAACTTTTAAGGCCACATTTCTTGGCCACTCTCCGACCAAAGTCAGAAGATATTTTCCCAATTCCATCAGAGAAAACATATTTGATTCCACGTGTTACAACCTCTACATCAGGAATTATTTCCATTTCATGCCTACTGACGCTCAAAGTTTCTGTGGAGGAACCAAAAGATTGACCGAGTCTGGCAGCATATTTTGCCACATTTCTTATCTGACGAAAATCACCCATCCAATTTCTTATATCAGCAGCAGTAAGCCCAGATCTTGAAGCAAACATCCATGCAGAATTATCCCGCAATTGACTTGAAGAAAAAGCAAGAAAATCAAACTTCTTATTGCCAATAACAATGCCATCCCTAAGAGTCGACAGTATCCTTCTATAAATGCTAGTTCTTCTATCCTCATTTGAAGAAGATGCCCGTGGGGATAAATCTGTTGAAAACAACTTACCCCATTCCTCATCAACAAAAGAAACCCGGAGAAAATTATCAATATCTTCAGAATAATGGCGTAATACACGATTGGACATATTAACCTCTGGACCAGAGAAATACACTTTGCATGGGGTTATTTGAACCCTGTGTACATACACCAATCCACCATCCAAAGTAATAGCAGGTGTTCTAGGAAGTCTCTTTAAGGTGAGGTATTTTCTATATTGCTCATCAAGCCACCTTACAGGCTCGTAACAGCATTCCTTTAAATGATAAAGTTTCTCTAGGGCATGTTCTACAAACGCGATGTTTATTCTCCTGGGATCAACCAACCGAAAGAAGTTAATATCAAGTGCTTGTCCTGGAAGACACCCTTGCTGAACCAAGATACAGATCTTAAATAATATTTTATATGGCATTTCAAGTCCATGAGGAGGACCCACAATGGGTACTAGATCCAAATTGCAAGAAAAAGTTAAACCTCTCTCCAAAATGAATGGGCCTTCATTTTCTTTATAAAAAGCAAAATATTCGCTGAAGTTTAAAAGGTCAACACCACATGGAAGCTCCAAACATAAAGAAGAAGATTGGCCAATGCAATTCGATGGAGTGAAATCAGTTTCCCTGACCCATTGGTCATCAGAAGTTTCCTTAAAATAGCTGTAAATAGATTCTTCAACTTTCTTATAGATCCGAGGAGCACCAACCAACTACCATTTAAATTGCACAAAAAATAAGCTTTAGTTGTAATATACAAGTAAGAAAACAAGTTGAAGTGATTGTCCACTAATAGGAATGGCAAGCATCAAACCAGCCCAAATTTCAATGCAAAGAAGCTAGTGTATTCTTCTTTACTCCATGTTGAAAATACAAGGAGTTAATTTCACATTGGATTAAAAACTGTTAGAAATGGGTGTGGTTGTGGACAAGGGAAGGACTCTCCAAATTTGCAAGATAAGTATATGAGTGGATTGGCCTCTCCAAATTTACTAGACCTATGGAATGAATTAGCAAGAAACTTTTGCTCTTGTAGGAAAGATAAATTTCATTTCACTCATTATTCCGCGGTAGCTAACTTGGATTGACCACTTTAGTAGCTTGATGTAAAAAATGCTTTCTCCATGGTGACTTGGAAGAGGAGGTTTAAATTGATATTCTCCTAGGGTTTCCACTTCCCAATGATAGTGATGATTGTAGGCTAAATAAGTCTTTGTATGGTTTAAAAAAATCACCGAGAGCCTAGTTTGAGAAATTTACCAAGGCTATACTCAATTTGAGTATCACCAAGGTCAAGTTGATCACACTTTGTTTGTCAAACAGTCCTCACATGGAAAGGTTACTTCTTGGGTATTGAAGTTGCTAGATCAAGACATCATATTTTCATCTCTCAACACAAGTATGTGCTTGATCTTCTTAAGGAGATATGAATGTTGGGGTATAAACCTTTTGACATTCCCATTGAACAAAATCATAAACTGAGTGAGAGTGGAAACAATACTTAGTTGATAGGGACCGTTATCACAGTTAGGCGTTTTTCTCTTACAGATGGCTTAGTGCAACAATCAAGATGTATCTGAATTAAGGAGATTCATGCTTAAATTTTACAGCCACCTAGGTAAAAAGAAGTCAAAGTCCTCTATGCAAGCATAGCATTACAGCTACTAGCACACAGGTCATGAAGCCCTATCATTGATAGCTATAGGCCTTGAAGGTGTTTTCTTGACAAAGTAAAAATGGATCACTAAGACAAGGCTGCAACCCTCTTTAGATAAGAGTGACATTGAAAACTTAATCCTACCAGATATGGAGAAAATTTCTCCAATCTTTGGATGATTTTTATCACAATGCCATTGCTCAAATCATAGTCCTCAGTGACATGCGAGTTCTGAAAGTTTAGGCACTTGAGGTCCGTGGCTACCAAGTCCAAACGTCTTGCAAGTGACAATTTCCACAAGCCTTGTTTGATTTAGACATATAACAGTTTCTAATAAAGATCCTAAGATATGCCAAAACACCCATACAAGGCCTATTGGGTCTCATCCTAAGGGGCAAGTCAAGAAAGCCAAAAGGTTGACCTTGCACTAATATTCTTAAAAGTCCTCCCTTTCAAGACAGTCTAAACATCCCTAAGAACCTCCAATGTTTTATCATATTTTGTATTGTATGCTTCCCCAGTGTCCAGGATGGTGGATTACTATCAATTGGCCTGTCAAGACTATAAAGCACCTGTAAAATATTGTTGTCCCATCAGCTATGCCTATTATGACACCCTTGAAACCATGAATTAACGAACATATGTTATCAAGAATGTAGCAATCTAAGGCCAATCACTTCAAAAAGATTGTAAAATTTAAAGCTTTAGTCTTTCCAAAATGGTAGAGACATATTAATTTGTGAAGCTTTTTTTTTTTTTTTTTTTGGATTAGTTATTATGTATATCTTAATTTTCTTGTCGATAGGCAAATTAAAAATAATTTTACATATTTAGAAGCCAAATCGCCACACAACCAATGATGGATTTAGGGGGGTGTGGGCAAGGCGGTTGCACCCCCAAATTTTTTTAAAAACTATGTATATTGTGCTAGTAATTAGTAAGATAATTTCAAAATGGAGTACTTCGCACCCCCAAAATTTTAGTAGTTCGCACTCTTCAAATTATTTACATTACAAAATTTTAAAAATAGTTTCTAAATTGAGTTTTACCAAATATTGATCTATTCTATTTGTTATCTGTATTATTTGTTACATTTCTATATTGTTTAAAGTTACTTGTATTATTTTATTTGTTACTATTCTTGTTTTCTATTCTTATGTCATTTATGTTTTTTTCTTTTATAAATCACACTTTAATTTGCTTATGCATCTTATTTTATATTCATTCTTGTTTGTTCATTCTCTAGAAATAAGAATATTGTCTGGAAATAAACAAATCGTCTACTTCAACATGACATTCTTAAAATAAGATAATAAAATTTAATACCGCTTATTGAAATGGATTATCATTATACTCATAAAAACATACATTTTCAATTATAAACTTTTTTTCAAAAGTAAATTGCATAATAAGATGGAAGATGATTTTGTAGTAAATTACTTAATCATATTTATTGAGAAAGATATTAATTAAGGTTTTGATATCAAGTTTATCATAGATGTTTTTATATATATATTATAAAAAGTGGCGATTACAACATTTTCAAATAGTTAACTTTACGAGACAGAGACATAGTAATAGTTAATATTTTGTTGAGTTAATGCAGACAATAAATGTCTAATTATATTTTTGTTCTCAATTATGTTAACAAAGGATGTCTGATTAAGAGTAATATTATTTATTTTTTTGTGCTGGTATAAATCAAAATTTAAAATTTTATAATAATTTTTTTCGATGAAAAGTTACATATGTTTTTGCCCCCCCAAACCTCAAATCTTAGTTCTGTCCATAGGTATGGGGTGGTTAACCACACTATGTAATCCATAAAAAGGCTGTCACAAGAAATTCAGTTTATTCAGCAGCAAGAGAAAAAGAAAAGCAAATAATGAATGCCTATAAAGCACCGACACATTCCCAGGCTTTGCGTACGAGTGTCAGACACGTGTCGGACATGGACACAGACACGCGTCGGACACGCGGTAGACACATGTCCGACACTCTCTCTAACGTGTCTCCTTTTTTTTTTTGAAATCTTCCAGTCGGACATGCCATGGACACGGCGGGACACTTTTCGGACACTCGTGAGGTGGATCGAAGAAGCCCTAACTGTTGTCCTTGATCGACAGAGAAAGAGAGAAAGGGATCGAGGAAGACAGAGAAAGATAGAAAGGGATCGAGGGAGACAGAGAAAGAGAGAGATCGAAGGAGAGAAGACAGAGAAAGAGAGAAAGAGATCGAGGGAGAGGGGAAGCCTAACCTGTTCAGATCAATCCAAGAAGCTGAAGCTGAGGTATTCTTCTTCTTCGTCTCTTCTTCTCTTCGTTTTCGTCTTCTCTGTCTCCATCATCTCTGTTCTTCTTCTCCTCTTCACTTTCTTCCTTTCCTCCTCCCTTTCGTCTCTCCCTTTTCTGACTCTCTCTCCCTTGGCTTTTTGACTTCACTCTCTCTCTCCTCTATCGTTTCTTTTTATATTTTTTTTCTTCTCTCTTTTCTTGATTCAACGTTTCTCTCTCCCCCTCTTTTTTTTTCTTTTTTCTTTTTTCTTTTTTCTTTATCCTTATTTTTATGTTAAACTTAAAATTCATAAAATAAATTATTTTTGTTTAAAAAAACTCATTTTTTATTAATTTTTTTAAAAAAATATATTTATTAATTTTATTATTATTTTGATTATATAAGAATTAATGATTTTATTTTTATTTTAGATATATAATAAATAAATAAAATTATATATATTAAACGTGTCCCCAGCGTGTCATGTCCCCTATTTTTTGAAAAATTGCGTTTTCGCGTGTCCGTGTCGTGTCTCGTGTCCGTGTCCGTGTCCGTGCTACATAGATGAATGCTAACGGAAAACATTTTAGTGGAACATACCTGAATGAGCAGAAACTTTGAAGTTTTATCACGGGGACGACGAAGCTCAATCTGCCAGATGTTCTCATAAAATAGATCAAGCCTGTACTCAACAAAAAAGTGGGACAGAAAGAAATACAGTTTTCTTAGGCCAAAACCAAATTTCACAGAGACATTTTCCCTCTTCCAGAGCACTGAAAACTTCTCCTTTGAGATCTGACATCCAAAATACAAAGTCACACTTTCCATGTCATGCACATATGCCTTCGTTTGAACGAGATCGAAGTCCTTAGGGTAAGCTTTCAAATAAGATGATCCATAATATAACCTTCGACTAGCCAAGGAGATAATATAATCAGCACTGCTGGCAGTTGCAAATTGAACTGTGGCAAATGCTCTTGACCCTTTTCTTTTCGGCTCCTTGACCTCTAAAGCTACTACAGTTCCTCTGCCTGTGTGTTGTTCTAAGAATTCCTTGACTCTTTCCGCAGAAACAAGGTATGGAAACCCAGACAAATGAATTGTCTTACCCATCCAGTCCAAATGACTTTAACTGCAGTCTCATTATTACAGTACTTATAATCAGCAATTGCAAAAAAGGGGGAAAAAAATTGAAATGAAAGGAAAAGAGTTTCCACTATATAGTACATACAACATGAGAACCAACGAGAGAATTAAATTGGAAAGGAAAAAAACAAATAATTGGAAGATTATGAGACTAACCACTAATGTATTAGAGTGATAAAAGGTTATAAAATGAAAGAATAGGCCAATACATTGTAACATTAAGTATGCAGATTCCATAAGAACCTTTGTAGCATATAGACTAAGATGACCCAAAACTATAGACAAGAGAAACTTGATTTCCCCACTATCTTTTTCTTCATGTCCTCCTTTATTCCCCTTTTTCCCAGTCATACGATACCATCAAAAATTAAAAGGACACATCCTAAAGCAAATTTTACCAAGAAACAATAACTTGATGCTCTTGAGACATAAAATACTAAGATGTATCTTCAGCAGTCAGCACAGAAAAACAACACAAAAATGCCCTTGATTTTTCATATCTAGTAGTCACAAGATTCTTCTTTTATATCATAAATTGATAGAGGGATACAGCAACATAGGGCACCTTGCTACTATCTTTGTGCTGGGGGAAGAGAAGGGAAGGCACAGTTAGACTCAGAAACCTCAACCAGCAGATTGTAATAAATTAAGGATTCAGTACAAAGTTTCTGGAATGACCATCTACATATGATTGCAGCAGGCTAGCAATTATAAAATTCTGTTGATTGTAACAACTTACATGATTTGAAAATGATAGTCATAAGAAATTTTAAAGACTTCCAAAATCGCAGGCTGAAAGTACGTAAGAAATTGTTTGAGACCTCCAAAAAGCTTTCACAATTCGACCCACAATGATGGAGTATGATAGTTGTCAACTTTTGATTTGTTACACATCCAATGATATAGGGCCCAACTTCCTTGCCACATCACTATGGGTGAATTTAGTGTGGGTCTCTAGCATTTCTCAAATATATATTTCACAATAGAAAGCTCTTGATTATGAGAACCAAGCTAGATTTTTAGACTTCCAAATAGGTTATTGGAACTTTCAGTATATTCCCAATCATTGACAATTTGACACCAAACTTTAAGCATTTGTGCAATAGATTAATGTGACAGTTGCTGTGTGACATTTTTTCTTATGTTGCATCATTGCATGTACTAATAATTTCCCAATGTCATCAACCCAGGTTCCATTTATATATTTCTATGTCAATTATGATTTGACATGTATAAAACAAAAAGTACGGGTTTATATGTATTAATCCCTCCATTAGATTTTCTACTATTGAAACTCAAAGCCTTACAAATTCCAATTTGTGTATGAATACTCAAGACTTCAAAAATTAAGATGGTAAGCCTTTTTATTCAACATTTTTCCAATATATAAACAGAGAAAATTAATTATTTTTCAATATTTCATATACGAAGAATTTGATTGTTATGTAAAAACGAATAATTTTAACATGTTCTCGCTGTGTCATTGTCCTGGTTTTTTAAAACTGCTACGTCGGGATGTTCATCTCATGTTGTATCTGTGTCTCATGTCCGCATAATATTGCTATAAGTATCTTTTAGGCAGCTACTGAATATTTGATTGTGTATATCCAACTATTTTTCCATTCATGTCTCTTTATTTTCTATACATGTCATAAAATAAGCAAGAGTTTTGTTAATCGTGTTTATAACAAAAGGATTTTTTAATTTTCTCTTTTTTTTCCCTTCATTCATCCAAACGTGATGAGCCACTACAGACAGCCACCCTTACCATTAACCCACCCCTTCCCACAAGCAAAATGATGGTGGGAAACTATCTTGCGTCTTTTGCACAACTAACAACCCACTTCATTTGTGCCATAACTTAAGGGTAATACTTATTATCACTCATAAATACAGAGATGCAATTTGTTGTTTTTCCCTATCTACCAGTGCCACATAATTTGGTCCTTCAAATGAATCATTTTGACTTCTCCAATCCTTTAAAATCAGTGCAATTATTAGTTATGATAAAGGTCAAAACCACTGAACTTTTTTTTGAACTAAAAACCAGTGAACTTAATGTCTATCAATTTGAGTTTAAAAAGAAACCATATAGAAAAGTTATAAAATGTAACCGTTCTCACTATTATTAAGTTTTAAGAAAAAACAAAATCAAGTTAAATAGTAAATACCAGTTGAAATTAAAAAAAAAATTAAATTCTTCAAAAGGTCATTCTTCATACATTAACATGTTAGGGCTATATGTGCAATACATGGAATACATTCAATAAGCGTTATTTTCTAATATCATCTATGTGAAGAATTGTCTAGTGAACTTTTCCAAACACCAAATGGATTCAATACACAAGGGACATTATCTTAATGCTTTTATAATGGTAAAGACTAAGGATTCAGTGTCAATACAAAACCTATCAGTTTTATAACAAGTAGGAGATCATAATATATGTAATGAAAGATGAAAGCATTCTATTGTTTTGTGAAACTAAGGGGTCATTTGGGGACACAAGTAAAATGCCACAATTTGGCTAAAAAAACAAAAAGTCAAAAAGTCACCAAGCTGTTTGTCATTAATAACTAAAAAAATCAAATGTGACATCAATTTTTTCACTCACAGAAAAGCAACTTTTTTAGTATGCATTAACTAAAAAAGCCAAAACACCTAAATAGACAAAAAAAACCACCCAAAAAAAAAATGAGAAAAAAAAAAACCCCAACAAATAGATGAGTAACATGAGATGCATATAATGAAAATCTCAACATTAATACAAAAAAAAAATGGTAATGTAATGGCAAGGAATGTCACAAATTGCAAGAATTATGTTGTTGAAAAGGCATTTTGTACATCAAATTGAAAATAAGAGTGTGTGTGAGAGAGAGAGAGAGCAATTTTAGAATAAAATGCCAAAAGGCATTCCCAAAAACAAGAAAGGGATTAAACCTTGGAAGGCTGTGGTCAGTAAAGGCATTAATTATTGTACAATAGATAGAGAAGACAAACCTCATATACTATATAAAAACGTAGCAAAACGGGTTAAAATATATGCAACCAAATTATCTATTTGGCTGATCAATAAGTAATTAAGGGCGATGTGGTGATTGCAGTTTGATTTTTCTACTCACTTTAGTTCACCAAAATCTAACTGCAAATAGGTCAATTTAGAAATACACATAATTTCATCAACAAAGATAAAAAAAACAAAAACAAAAACAAAAAGATAATCAAAAGATTGCAATATTCCAATTGTAGAAATGCATATGGATCAAATCCAGGGGTTAGCCAAGCGATAAAGACTCGAGGATAAGACACGAGCCTCGAGTTCGAATCAACCCAAGGGTTAGTAGAGATTTGTCCGATCATTAACTCCAGGCTCTTAGAAAATGAGAGTTAAAAACAGAATTAAGAGGACAAAATTAAACACATCTAAATTGCATAGATTTAACTTTTCATCATATCAGTACAGTAGGCAATTTATAAAGGGATTTTCAGATTGGGTTGAGAAGTTAATAAGTACACAACAAGAGGTTCAATTGATGTCAATCCAAAGCAATGCATCTACACAGTATTTATAGTGGCTTACAAGCTTTCTATCAGTGGAAATTTTGTTCAATTAAGTTTCTTTCTCATGAATTTTCTGAGAAACCAAACGGCTCCAAACAATCAAACTATTAGTAAAAGCTTAAAGAAGTAAAATCAGCAACTAAAAAAGCGTTCCATAGTGAGAATCAAGCATAATTGTTATGATCAAAGTTAATAAAGGTGGAGAGAGAGAGTCTCACAATGATGCAGAGGCTTGAATTGCTTCGATTATCACATAAGCAGAACCTGAATAAATTCACATGATGAAAAGAAATATACTGCAGAATGACCACACTACTCATTCATTCATGGGTCATTCTGTATAAATACACATAAACTATATGAGAGAAGAGGGAGAGAGAGTCATCCACAGAAGTGAGAGAAAGTGGACTAGGATTGACCATCAAAATCACTCCTCTCTCTCTCTCTCTCTCAGAAAACCTTGGCGCAAAATATGGAAAAGAGTGATTCCCTGCTGATGTTCCCTGCTTTTTTAATATACTTTTTTATTTTATTTTATCAGCAGATTCACCAAATATATATCAAATTTAAGATTTTAATTTTTTTTTTAATCAAATTGAGAATTAATATATTTTTCATCAAATTACTATTCATTGTCATTATATTTTTATTTCAGATATCTCTTGGATGACTACCTCAAGACAAAAATTTTAAAAAAATTTATACTGGCCGGTCGACCAGCCGAACATCTGCCTAGTTGTCCGTCCGTTCTACCCCGGATGACCACCTCAAGAAAAAAAATTGTAAAAAATTTATACTGATTGTTCGACCAGCCGAACATTCGCCTGGTCATCCGCTCGGTCGACTGGTGTGCTGATGAATTTTTAAAAATCTCCGTTGGTGCACTTGATATCAAATGAATCTTTTACTTAAATTTGATGAAAATTTTGATAAACCGTTGGAGATACTTTTATAAAATCATTTCAGAATTAAGAAAAAAAATTTAATCACTTTGCTTGTTTTTGGTTTTCCAAAAACACTTTTCAGAAAATTCTACTTTCTTGTTTTCTGTGTTTTTTGCTATTACTGAATTTTTTTAATATTTTTAGCAATTTTTTTAATTTTTAGACACACCCAACATAAATACACATAAAAAATATAATTTTTGTGAAAAAATCTTTTAAAAATTCATTAAATACCAAAAATACAAAAAAAATATAAGAATTCAATATATTTTTCGTATTTTTATGTATTTATTAATTTTTTAAAATATTTTTTCACAAACTTTTTACTTTTTAGATACATCTAAGTAAGGTACATCTAAAAAAGTTTTAAAAAATACTTAAAATTTTAAAAATATTCACTAAAAATAAAAAAAAATACGAAAAATAAAAAATTCAATTTTCAAAAAACTTAATCCAAAAAACTTAAACCAAACACACAGAATAATATTTGGTTTCAATTTTCATGATTCACTTTTCAAAAAAATTGAAAATTTTATTTTTCGTATTTTTTTTTCACTGAATTTTGTTAATATTTTAAGTAATTTTTTTAATTTTTAAATACACCTAACATAAATACATTTAAAAAATATAATATTTGTGAAAAAAATCTTTAAAAAATTCACTAAATATCAAAAATATAAAAAATTCAATACATTTTCATATTCTTGTGTATTTATTGATTTTTTAAAATATTTTTTTACAAATATTTTATTTTTAGATTTATCTAAATAAAGTGCATCTAAAAAAATAAAAAATAAAATTACTTAAAATCTTAAAAATATTCACTAAAAACGAAAAACAAAAAAACTTAATTTTCAAAAAATTGAATCTAAAAAATTGAAACCAAACACAGTGTTGCTATTCAATTTTTTTTTTCTTTTTAAAAAAAAATACATTTTACCAATTTTAATAGGAAAATTTAAAAGGCAGCCCTTTACTCACAAATTTGTGTAAGAGTTTTAAGTAGAATAAAAGTTGTTTGATATAAAGATTTCAAACTTTAGAAGAATAACAAAATATTTCACAATACCTTGCAACCCTAAATCTTCTTTTCCATATCACTTTCTTTTTTACGATGTTCTATTTACTTTTCTCTCTCTCTCTCTCTCATGGTTTATATTTGAAAGTTTGTTATCGGCTCTATTCACCATTGCCACCACCATCACTATTACTATGATCAATCCCAACATCATCTTCTACTGCTATTGTCACTGTCCACCATTGATACCATCAACTATGGTCATCATTGATCATAGCCACTGTCTACCACCGCCATCACCACTATTTGTCCCCGCCACCATCCCTTAATTATCATTATTTTCATATATTCATCAAGTTTATTTGTAATAACGAGATTCCTTGCACAATCTCCTTTGATTTGTGTATATTATTTCTTCCCCCCCTCCCTTGTTCTTCTATTTCTCTCTCAGTTGTTTCTTCCATTTTTTTTTCTATTATCTTTGTATCGCACAATAAAAACTCACCGTATTGGAGAATTTCATTAAGATAGTAAGTGAAAATGTACTTAAAATTCATCATTTTAGAACATTGAATTTGAATTTTTTATATATAAATTTGAAATTAGGGACTTAATTTTTGTAATTGATTCTCAAATTTATGATTTTAATTTTTTAATAAAAATTTCACTAAGTTTGGATAGTGAATTTTCTTTTTGGGTGAATAGATAGTGAAATTTTCACTGTACAAAAGTCAGCAAAAATTTTCCCAATAAAATTTTATGATTTTTTTTAATAAAGATTTTACATTGTTCATGGATCTTATTTAACAGATCTCGATGAAATGATTATAAAAATATAAATTTTGCACAAAAAAAAAATGGAAGTATAAATCAAAAGTTATTAAATTTTAATGTTTTCAAATCACCTAAAGAGTGAAAAACGTTCCTGTTGGGGATATTTTCGTCCAGCGCATTTTTGGAACACTAATATTGAAAGTTCATTGCCCTTATTCTTCTACAAAATTTTCGTCCAGCGCATTTTTGGAACACTAATATTGAAAGCGGCTCTGATTCGTAGCTCGAATTCGGAGGCTCGAATTTGGCCCGAATTCGGAGAAGAGGAAGAAGAGAAGAAGAAGAAGGAAGAAGAAGAAGAAGGAGAAGAAGAACTGGACTGGAGGGGGCCATCAAAATCGGAGGTGGAGGTGGAGGCGGAGGCGGCGGCGGGCGGAGACGGGGCTGAGCGACGAGCAACGAGCTGCCGACGAGCTACGCTGCCGACGAGCTGTGTTCAACGACGCCGACGAGCTGTGTCCGACGAGCTCTCTCTCTCGCCTCTGCTCTGCTCTCTCTCGCCTGTATTCAACGAAGAAGAAGAAGAAAAGAAAGAAAGAAAAGGAAGAGAAAGAAAACGAAGAAAAAGAAGGGAAAAAAAAATGGCAAAACGACGTTGTTTTGCCATTCGAGCCAAAATCGAGCCACCAATTTCGAGCTACCAGTCGTTTTCCTATTGAAAGTTCATTGCCCTTATTCTTCTACAAACTGAGAATGACGGAGCTGGAAAAAAAACTCCCATTTTATAATTAAAGTTACAATTTTTTTTCATGGATTTGTAAATATTTTTTAAAAGGACCATTATTTCTCAACAAAAAAAAAGTACTGAATTTTTATATTATTGTTATTTTTTTTTTGTATTTTTTAGTATTTATTGAATGTTTGAAAAAACATTGTTAAATATTTTACTTTTTGAGTATAACTAGATTAAAATAAAAATAAAAAACTTAACCAAAATATTAAAAAAAATTCACTAAAAATAAAAGAACACAAATTGAAATCTCAAAATCTGATTTTGGAAACTAGATAACCAAACAGAGTGTTTGGTTTCGTTTAAGAAACTTGTTTCAATTTATTTGTTAAAAAAATTAAAAATTAGTTTCCTGAAAAAATGAAAAAATCAATATAGCAATCCCAGGTTTTCCCCTTTATGTACTGTATTCCGGGCTTGGGTTCCTCGGTTGAGTAATGTTGTGTATGTTACATTTCCGTCCTTTAATTCTTTGTATTTAAGTTTTGGGATGTGTTGGGCAGGTTTGTAATAGGTTGGGTGTGTTTTGAAACAAATGGTTGCTGTCCAGTTTTTTGTCTCTTCGCTCGAGCTAGGACTTTGTCGCTCGAGCGAGCCTTGTGTTTTTGCTTCTTCGCTCGAGCGAAGGTTTGTACACTCGAGCGAGTATTGTGGGTCTTCAGGTTTTATTTTTAGACGCAGCCTTGGCTCGAGTGAGCTTTTCTTCGCTCGAGCAAGATTGGTCTGGTGTGTCTCTTCGTCGAGCGAGAGGTCATGCGCTCGAGCATGCGTCTGCTTCTCTTTTGACCTGAAGGTTGTGTTTCTTGGCTCGAGCGAGCGAGGACTATGTTTTGAGTTTCTTCGCTCGAGCGAGATTTTCTTCGTTCGTGCGTGCTTCTGGGTTGCAGACTTGAAACTTCGTGTTGTTGGCTCGAGCGCCTCGAGCGAGGCTTTCTACGCTTGAGCGAGGTTTCTTTGTGTCTGGTCGTTCGAGCGACCACTCCTTCGCTCGAGCGAGGTTCGAATATATCAGTTCGCAACAGCAGCTTCTTCTTTACTTTTTCATCATCTTCTTTACTCAAACCCTAACCCCGGCTGCTCCTCTCTCTCTACATACACCTTCTCTCTACAAATACATCTAGTTCTAGGAGTCTTCTACCCTAATCCCTTTGTAAGAAAGGTAGAGCTTGGCGTGGGCTCCTCTTTGATCCGAAAAAGTTGGTGTTTGGTGCATCTTGGGTTTTCACCGTCATCTCCTTTGAGTCTCTTCTTTTAAAGTAGGGATAAACTACTCTATCTTATGAGTTATGACATGAATTTTAGCCATTTTGATTAAATGATGAGTTATGGGAATTTTGGGAAGTTAGGGTTTTGATTTGAAGTTATAAAAAAGGAGGTTTTAGATTGTTAAACTCCATGTGTATGTGAGACCTTGGAAAATAGAATTATTGTTGTTGAATTGATGAAATTGAGCCTTAGGGCTAAAGTTGGGAAAAAAGGGAAAAGCCCTAATGTAATGTAATTAATTAATTTGTATAATTAATTTGGGAAAATCATGAAAATGTGAAATTGAGATGAAAATCATGAAATTGGGAAAGTATGAGATTGAATGGTATAGTTGGATTAGTTAATCACTCACCTATGAAATTGTTGATAATTTATCTGTTGATGAATTTATTATCTGTTTAGAAATAACTGCTTTGGGCTATCAGTGGAGGATAGTCTTGATTGTTGTAGACACTGTATGTTGATTAGGGAAAACTGAAACTAATCACCTGGAATATGTCATTGAATATGACAGTTGGAATAATACATTGAATATGTGTATGGATTGATCATTGTATATGATAAGTGTTTAAATACATTGTATATGTATATGGTTTGGGAGGAGATAGGGGATGTACTCTCAAACCTGTTTGGGAGGAGATAGGGAATAGACTCCATTGATAACTAAGTTGGCCGGAGTGTCCAGGGTGAAAGTCCTGAAATCC